GAGAGTGCAGGGCCTGGGCAGGCGAGTGGGTGACAAGGAGAGCAGCCAGTGTCCGGTCAGAGGAGAGCAGTGCCTGGGCAGGCGAGTGGGGCTAGCCAGGAGAACGGGTGCTGGGGAGAGGTCGGATGGGCCAACAGAGGCCCAGGGGCAGAAACGCGGGTCACCCCAGGGACCACTTAGTCGCTGTCAGCCTGCCCTCTTGGCTGGGCCTCTTCCCCTGAGTGGCACCAGCAGGCTGTCCTGTGACTATCAGCCATGGCAGACCTGGGCCCGGCACACACCCAGCCAAGCCGTAGGCTCTTTCGAGCGGAGGCGGAAATGCGGGGTCTCCAGGTACTTAGCGTCACTTCCCTGGCGGACACACTTGTCCAGATGAGCCCAGTCCGCTCGCCGGCAGCTTAGATAACTGAGCACCACTCGGAGCCTCAACCACAAGAACCACGGATACCGAGAAGCACCCCGTCTGCAGCGCGGCCACTCGGGACTGACCCGTGAGAAGACCTCGCCCTGACGTCGGATCCCTGAGGGCCTCACCCAGGGGCTTGTCTCGGGACCCAGCCGGGAAGCTAGCCAACAGTGTTTATTCCCTTTCTGCCTCCGCCCAGGACCCCAGACTGCCAGCAGACCTCTTTTTACCGTTAAGGAAGCACCTGCCATCCAGCCGCTGCCCGGGTCACGGCCCACCCGCTGGAGCAGACGTGTCAGTCACACGAGGAACGTGGGCCGCTGCCCACCGTGTGCTGGTAACTCGCCCACCACAAGCAAGCGCCTCCGTACTCGTGTGGAAGGTGCCCCTCCGAGGGCGTGCTCCGGGCTGGGCCAGTGAGGAGTGGCCAGTGACGTGGGGGATGCGGGCATGTCCAGCAGGGCAGGAGGCGCGTTTCCCCACAGCTGAAGCAATGCTGAGAACACAGAGTTAGCACGAGTTCGGCGTGAGCCCATCAGGTGTCCCCACGGCCACGCAGCCCGGGGAAGGCCCCACCCAGCAGCGTCCTGCCACGAGACCCAGGCTGAGACGGGCACTCCGCGGGCGGGGAATGACTTGCACCCAGACTTCCTTGGCCCCTTGTCACTTTCCAGAACATCATCCAAGGCCAGGGCCCTCTGAGGTGACCTCAGGAGAGGGTGAAGGGCGCGCGACAGCTTGCTATGGTCCTCCTGCCTGCAGGGGACAGTGACGCACAGAGGCGGGGCTGGCCTTACCCACACGGGTCTTCACAAGGGTCATGGAAAATGCTGTTGTGAAAGACTATGCGTAGGCTTCAGCTTTTTCTGCCCCCAAATCACCGCATACTTCGATTCTGTTCTCAGCGGGCTTTCTGAAGTCCACCCACGTACATGTCACCACCAGGGTGGCACTTGCTGTTGGCACAATAAAGATTCCTGTCCGTCTCCCCAGTGAGGACATGAAGACAGCCCGCTCCGCGCGGGCCCCAGCGAGCACTTTCTGGAAACGCTCTCCCTGTGTCTGACCACGCGCGGAGCCCGGATTTCCTCTCCTTGGCTCAGAGCCGTCAGGGCACCCTGGCTCGGGCTGTGCGGGGCCCCTGCTGTCCTCCCCTCGCCCCGCACCCGCGTGTTTTGCATACTGTCCGGGATGGCGTGTATTTTGAGTGCTGTCTGTAGAGGCAGATGTCGGGCATGTCCCCGAAGCGGACCCCGTCCCCACTCGGCTGTGCAGCTATCATTCCTGCCTATCCTCCGTCCTTTCCCAGCTGTCTGGAGGCCTTCTAGGGTGGATGGAGCTCCGCGTGCCCACTCAGCCTTTCTCCCATCTCCTGTGCCACACAAGAGCCTCCCAGGATGGCTCCCGGGCCTCGTCCTAATGCCTGGATGGCTGTGGTTTACAGCAACGTCCAGTGAATCCGGTCACAGGTCCGGCTGCCCGTCCGTGTGAGCAGGACGTGTCCAGAGCCACAGAGGGGAATCTGGGCCAGTGATTAATGCCCTGCCTAGCCCGACATGGCACTGGGGAACACGTCACCTTCATTTTCAACTTGGCCCTGGAGACTCCGGGGAAACAGCAGTGAGCAGCCAGGCCACCTCTTCCCAAAGCCTCAGACCCCTTCTTCAGCTGGGACGCAGGAAAGGAAAGGCAGCTGGGTGTGGGCAGGCGGTCAGCTGCCCGACCTCCAGGGCGCAAGAAGGCAAAGGAAGCCGGCCCAGGCCAGCGTGGCCCCCGATAGCCTGGGAGGAGTGCTCAGGCCACCTACCCAAGCAGTGTGAACCTGCCGCGGCTGAGGGGCACAGAGCGAGGAGGTCTGGCAGGTGGAGGTTCTGTCCACGGTGCCACCCACATAGGGCAGCCTGACAGGGGCTGCAGGTCCCTGGAAGACAGGGGTGTGCCCAGAAGGCCACGCTTGGCACCCCCTGCTGTCACGCACGCCCCCTGCTGTCACGCACACCCGTTTACTCAGGACCGCCTCAGCTGGAACACCGCTCAGGGCCGAGGTTCCAAAAGGCAGGACCCGGAGGTGTACTTCACGCGCTGCCACGTAACGCGAGGTACCATGTGATCCTCTGAGTTCTGTGAGCTCTCGGCGGACAGAGTGAGGGACCAGGGCACCACACGGCCACAGGGCCCGGGGTCACGCCAAGTGCCTCAGAGTGAAGCACGGGGTCCCCTCCACCTGGTGGGGGTCCCAGCCGCACCCCTGCTGGCTGAGTCCGCGTCCGATGGATTCTCTGTAAGAACGTGGGTGGTGACCGGTCCCTGCCGCCACTGAGCCCCAGAAGGAGTCAAGGGCACGGGTCGTCTTCGGCCCTCTCAGCAGGGTCTGCACTTCTGGGGCTGCCCCGCAGTTTTGATCTGGGCAAGACACAGACAAGCAGTCCCAGATGGACGTCAGACCTCCCTGCAGCCCAGAGGTGTCACTCTGCTCTCCAGGCTTTGGTTCTCCTTTGACAAGTGACAAAATCTGCTTCTCAGTGTCGCTGAGATTTCGGGGTATCGCATCCACTTCCCAGACCTACCGGAGCATCCGGCCCCAGCTGGAAAGCTGGGCTCTGACCTGGGCAGAAGTACCCAGCGAGGACTTGGACATCAGTGGTTTGAAGCCATGCCGGGAGGACCCCAGTCAGACAGGGTCAGGAGAGCTCTGACCCGCCCTCCTGTGCCCACCACCTGTCAGGACAGAAGGGCCCACCCGCGTTTGTTTCTGGGGTCACTGGTCCAGCCTCTCCTGCCCTCTGCTGACCCCCGCCCATGGCAAGCCGGGGCCATCGCTCCCTGCAGCCTGGACCTCTATGCTCGCCTCCTCAGCGTAGCCGGCTGCCTCCTTGGGGCCCCCACAGCCTGTGCTCAGGGCCAAGGCCACACCAGGTCCCAGAGGTCCCTGTCCCCCAATAGGTTGAGCACGCCTGGGGTGGGGATGCGTTCTCAGATGGGGCTCCAGGGCCCACACCGTGGAGGGGTGGCCATTCTGTACCTCCTGCCCAAGGAGGGGTCTGGGAATCCAGGTCACCCGGGCAAGGTGGTGCCGGTGAGGTTCTGGAGGGGTGCAGGTGTGAAGCTGGTGGGTGCCCTGGCTATGACCCCGAGGTGAGTTCCTGGCCCTGGGAAGGTTTTCGCCATGTCCCCACAGAGCCGATGTTTCAGCGGAGGCTCCAAGGTCACCAGGCAGGGCAAGGACAGCCATGTGGCTCCTTGCTAGCCCCTGGGTGGGGACAAGAAGTGTCTGTCCTGTAGAATTTTATTAGCAGAAAATTGTACCAAAAAGAGGTAGGGAAACTGTCGCCTTAGAAGGAAGCCCTCAGCAGACCCCGAGCCTGCGGCGTCGGTGCTGCGCGTTTGTGTCTTCACGCACCGTGCAACGATCACACGCCATCACGCCACACGGATGTGTTCGCCCTCCATGCCGCGGGGATTTGGACATGCTCAGATGTGCGGCGGTGTTCCAGGAGCTGCGTGAGGGCCTCATGGGGACATGAGTGGCCAGGATGCCTCCCTCCCCGGCAGGTTTTGGGTGTCTGGGTCCTCAGTGCCCTGTCTTACTTTTCTTCTAGAAGCTGTACCGGAAGGAGATCAAGCCACCCTTCAAGCCCGCAGTGGGACGGCCTGAGGACACCTTCCACTTCGACCCCGAGTTCACAGCACGGACCCCCACAGGTGGGTGCATCTGCCCTTCTCTCCTGCTCGCCAGGCCACGTAGCAGACCCAGAGATCCGGGTTCGGAGTGCCGTTAGTGGGAAGCCTTGAAAGTTCCATTTAATCCTGGTGTCCTCTGCGGTGACGGGCGTCCACGTGGAGGACCGGCTCTCTGTCGGCCCCTGGGCACCACCTTGGGGACGCCAGGGTGCTCAGCGACCCCACCTCCCTCACCCGCATTGCCATTCGAGTCCCAACTTCCTGGGGTCCTCACAGACACAGGCCCCCAAACAGAGCAGTCCTCACTTAGTTAGAGCCCTGCTGTGGGGCAGGGAGGGGGAGCATGGAGAAGCCTGCAGCTGGGCCGCCACAGGTGTGTGCGGGCAAGGAGCAGAAGCCCTCGGAAAGTTCTGTCGGCCACTAGGCCCAAGCAGGGCGGACGTACCATCTGAGGGTACTCTGGGGGCTGTCAAATTCAACCAGGACAGGTGGGTACCCTTTAAAATGATCCTCGTGGGACCTCCGTGTGGCTCTCAGATATGCTGTCCTAGTGAATGAGGGCCCCTGTGACAAACTCCCAGGCTGGGTGGCTTTAACCCCAGCACATGCTTCCTGCAGGTGAGGTCACGCTGCAGTCGGTTCCTGGCGAGGTCTCCCTCTTTGCCTTGCAGATGGCCACTTGCCCCTGTGTCCTACGTGTGCAGGGGGCATACACATTCTAATATCCCTCTTGTCATGAGCACACTGATCAGAGCCAGAGCCACCCCTGTGACCGGTCTCACCCTCGTGGCCTGTTCAAAGCCCTACCTTCAGACACGCCATCCTGAGGGCGGTGGCCTCAGCACACTGATCAGAGCCAGAGCCACCCCTGTGGCCGGTCTCACCCTCGTGGCCTGTTTAAAGCCCTACCTTCAGACACGCCATCCTGAGGGCAGTGGCCTCAGCAGACGAGTCTGGGTCATGTTAGCACAGACCATGTCAGGTGGTGGGCACTTCCCACCAGCCGACAGCTCCTTCCGCAGCCGTGGGAGCAGTGCACAGGCGGGGGGCCAGGCTGCGTGATGGTCCCGGGTCACCTGCTTTGCACCTGAGATCTGAATTTTAAGAGAATCGGGAGACAAGTGGGTGGTCAGGTGCCGAATCTCAGGGGGCACCGCTGGACTTGAGAATCCCTGTGTCCCTGTGGGTCCAGGCTGTCAGCCACATTTCCATCTCCACATGTATGTGTGCATGAGGCATGGGTGTGTGCCCACACAGACATGGAGGCCATGGGCTCCCACTGGCTCTCACAGGTTCTCGGCCCTGGGCAGCTCTTGTCCAAGCGGACTGGCACCAGGAATGGGAAGGACGCCAGTTCTGGGCCCTGCAATGCAGGGGTTTCAACACCATCACTCACTGCATGATGGTTCCGGGTCATGGGAGACCTCAGGGGCTCCTCCGCGGTCCCCAGGTGAAACCAGCCCTGTCAACAGTGGTGACTGCCCTTGAAGTCTGGGGCCATTACTGCTGCCCGGAGGAGGAGACTCCTGTGTCCTCCCCTCACCCCACATGAGTCTGGGTCCCTCCCCAGTAGAAGTGCGTGGGGCATGGGCACTTGTTCATCAGTGCGTGGTAGACAGGCCCCCCAGGTACCCGCGATCCAGGCTCCGAAGCAGTCACCCTAGAATCACCATCCCCAAATAAACCATTGAAGACAAAAACTACACACTCCGCAGCTGCCCCTTGACCCCACCCGCGTGTCACTGAGGACGGAGACCAAGGCACAGTCATTCCCTCGCACTCCCAGTTACGTGCCTGACCGAGAAAAGACAGGGCGGAGGGGCTGAGGGTGAGCGATCCCAGAGTGCCCGGGCGTGTGCTCACATGCACATACACGCTCCTTTAAAGGGCGTGTGGAGTCGGCACTCGGATCTTTGGGTTCTGCATATACAGATTTGACCACTGCAGTTCAAAACTATGCAACATAAATACATTAATTGCATGAAAATAAAAATACGATAAAAACGAATTTTAAAAATGCAGAGTATGGCCTCACGGTTAAGGCCCTGAACTCCCATGTAACTGAACTCAGCTTGAACCCCGGACCTGGTGGCTGGAAACTCGTATGTGCGTGCCCAAGATCTCAAGAGGAGAATGGAGAAGGGGTTGTAGCGTGGCCATCCCTCTGGGGGTGCTCTCTCCCTTCCTGCCTCTGGCGAGTGTGCCCCATAGCAGAAATGTCTCCCTTCCTGCCTCTGGCGAGTGTGCCCCATAGCAGAAATGTCTCCCTTCCTGCCTCTGGCGAGTGTGCCCCATAGCAGAAATGTCTCCCTTCCTGCCTCTGGCGAGTGTGCCCCATAGCAGAGATGTCAAGGACAAAAGCAAGACAGTGACTCGAGCGGCATTTATGTGGTGTCAGGCACTGCGGGTCCATGGGGGTGGACGTAGGGCGCATGCACACGCGCACTGCTGTGTATCCGGGATGTGAGCACCTGTGGGTGTGGGGATGGGGCAGGGGGTGTCCTGGAACCAATCCCAGATGTCTCCCTTCCTGCCTCGGGCGAGTGTGCCCCATAGCAGAGATGTCTCACTTCCTGTCTCTGGCGAGTGTGCCCCATAGCAGAGATGTCTCACTTCCTGTCTCTGGCGAGTGTGCCCCATAGCAGAGATGTCAAGGACAAAAGCAAGACAGTGACTCGAGCGGCATTTATGTGGTGTCAGGCACTGCGGGTCCATGGAGGTGTGCGTAGGGCGCATGCACACGCGCACTGCTGTGTGTCCGGGATGTGAGCACCTGTGGGTGTGGGGATGGGGCAGGGGGTGTCCTGGAACCAATCCCCCAAGGATACCAAGGGATGGCCAGAATTTGTATTTTAAGTGTTTTTATGTATTTTCTGTAAAAAAATTAAATACGTATTACACATTTATTGGGTTGGTAGAAAAGTCATGATGCATTTTTGCGTAGACAGAAAACACAGAGAAAATGTCATGACTTTCCCGACAACCCAATAGATATTATATAGCATGTATCATGAGGCGTGTACATGTTGCTATATATATATATATTAATTGCTAGAGTATGTCTGCACTCCCCAGAGAGACAGGTGGAAAAACCAAGCACCCCGTAGGGTGGTCGTGCTCCGCCCTTTCCCTCTGTCCCCGTCCCGGGGCGTCGGGGTGCACGTGCACGTGCCCTGCGTGCTTCCCGAGCTGCAGAGGCCGGATGAGCGCCGTGGCCGGCCCTGCGGGACCAGCTCCCTTAGCTACCCGAGTACAGGGCTGGCCCTAGATCTGCCTCCTGTTTTAATGTATGATAGCTTCAGTCTTTTCTCGGTTTTTGTCAAAGGGCACGTGTGCTTGCTGGTGAGAGGGAGAGAGACAGTGAGAGCGGGAAAGTGAGAAATGGCCCCGGGAGGTAGCCATGCCTCCGTCCCTTCTCCATTCTCCTCCCAGGATCGCGGGCACACACACGCGCCCAGCCTGACTTTCAAGCTGCCAAGTCCAGGACTTGAACCACAGTCGGCCATATCGGGGTCCAGCAACTTAACCAGTGTACCACCAGCGGGCCCCGAGCATATTTTAATGTGTGTTAAATATGTACACTATTTCATATATAATGTTATAGACAATATTTAATGTATGTTGTAATACACATTAATACACGTTATGTATTATATTAAAACTTTTTTCTGAGGCTGGCGGGTGTATGGTGGTTGAGGCACCAGATTCCCACAGGGACTACCGCCGTTCAAGCCCTGATGGAGACAGGATTGTGGCGTGGCCATCCCCCTGGGGGGTGATTTCTCACTTTTTGACTCTGTCTCTCTCTGTCTTTCTGGCGAGCGCACGTGCCCTATGGCAGAAACCTCTCCAAGATAATAATAATAATAAATAATAAATAATTATTAAAGAAAATCCAGCCTCTCAGGTTCGCTCTCCATGTGGTCCTGCACACTCACACGTGCACACCCACACGCATGTGCACTCCCCGCCATTTCACCTGAGACTGCTCAGCTCTCTGACCCCTGACCCCTCTGTTCTCTTGCAGACTCCCCCGGCGTCCCCCCGAGTGCCAACGCACACCACCTGTTTAGGGGCTTCAGCTTCGTGGCCTCCAGCGTGGTCCAGGAGCCGCTGCAGCAGGATGCACCCCGAGTCCCAGTGCACCCGATCGTGCAGGTAATGCCATCCTGCAGGGCCCGGTGGGAGAGGCACTGCCAGGGCCTGGCTCCAGTATTCACTGTGGGCTTGGTTACGCAGGGAACTGGCGGGGCCTGCGGCCTCGGTCAAGCTCCTTGTCCCCAGCACTCCCCCAGGTTGCTGAGCATGGACTGGGGCGATGCCGATGCCGAGGGTGATGGAGCCTCTGTGGTCCCCCCTGCCTCACACCATAAGGAGGGACACCGTCCTGACTCGCGTGTCTGTGGCCAGAGCCCCTTGAGGGTCAAGCCTGGGCATCTTTGCCGTGGGAAGCGCCGGGCTGTGGTTCGGTGTGTGGTGTGCTTCCCCACGGAGCACACAGCCCTGGGAGGGTGGCTGGGTACCGAGAACCCTAAGGAGGGTGAGGAACTACAAGCCCTGCCAGGAGAAACGATTCCCGCATCTCTCTCCCCGACGCCTTTTAGAAAAATGGGTGGCAGGCTTTTGATGATTAAGGCACCTGGATCTCACATGGCCGACTGGACAGTTTGTCCCCAGCTCTGGCAGCTCCAAAGTACACCGGACCTGTGTGTGCCAGTACCCCAAAAGAGCGAGATGGAGAAGGGAGTGCGGCGTGACCAGGCCCACGGGAGGGCGCTCGCTCGCTCTCGCTCCAGGAAGTGCACACCCCTCTGGCAATTTGTAGTTTTTGGAGAGGTTTCTGCTATAGGGCGCGTGAGCTCATCAGAAAGAGAGACAGAGACAGAAAGCGAGAAATCACCCCCCCGGGGGGAGGATGGCCACGCCGCAGTCCCTTCTCCTCCATTCTCCTCTGGGGATCTTGGGCACGCACGCACATGCGCCCAGCGTGAGTTTAAGCCATCAGGTCCGGCACGCAAACCACGGTCGACTACGTGGGAGTCCAGTGACATAGCCATTACGTCAAGCGCTGGTCCCTCCTTTGGCAAATTCTAAAAACTAGATCGTGTGCAGTGTGGAGGCATGTCTATGGTGTGGCCTGGCGGTGTGAGTAGGGACGTGCAGGTTGTGACTGACATCCTAGAATCAGGTTTCTGGTTGGTTCCGCGCAAGCCCACACTGACCACAGGGCCACACGCTACAGTCTACAAACCTCTGTCTTCTCACTCCCAGACCCTCCACCCCTCAGGTCTTTGGGAGAAACGTGTCTGGTTGTGAGCACAGAGTAACCTGGTGTCTAAAAATTAGGACTCAGGACCAGCAGTTAGTGTAATGGCTATGTCGCTGGACTCCCATGTAGTCGACTGCAGTTCGAGTCTCAGCCCCATTGTCTTAAACTCACACCAGTCGCATGTGTGTGCGTGCCCAAGATCCCAAGAAGAGAATGAAGGAGAAGGGATTGCAGCATGGCCATTCCCCCTGGGGGGTGATTTCTCGCTTTCTGTCTCTCTGTCTTTCTGTCTTTCTGGCGAGTGCACGTGCCCTATAGCAAAAACCTCTCCAACAAAAATAGAAAAATTAGGACTCCTCGTCTGAGGGATCCAGGGAGTTAGGGTCTGGGTCTAGAACCCTCACCATGGCTCCATGACTTCGGACAAGGGGACTCCCAAGCTGCGGGGCCTCGGTTTATTGCGCTCCCTGTCAGCCTCCCTCGGCCCCACGCCTTTGCCGTGGCTGGGCGTGCCGTGGCCGGGCGTGCCGTGGCCTGAGCCTTACTGCCCGCTC